ACTAAGCTTGTTCTAAGTAGATGCTTTAGACCACTGAGCCATCTCACCAGCCCCTCCCTTCCTTACTTATAAAAGCTTAGTTTCCATTTTTACCTTCTTTTTTTCTAAAGGGAGAATTTATATCTCCTGTAAAACTTTAAATTTCAAAAATATAAAATTAAATAGTTTCAACTCAATTCAGCCAAAAGTTTTAAGGATCTTCTCTTCAGAAACTACTGTGAAGGGGCCAGCCAGATAGCTCAGCAGATTAAAGCCCCTGTTTAGGCAGACTCAGGGTTCAGGGGTTCAATCCCTGGGCCTGCTGTGCCAGCCTGGCCCTCCCCAGATGGTGATTGAGACTGGGTGTGGCGGCGTGCCTGTAATCCCAGCACTTGGGGGGCTAAAAACAAGAGGATCACTATGCATATGATCTATGTAGTGAGACCCTGTAGACATTGTACTAAATACATTAAAAAAGAAAAAAAGAAACTACCATGAAGGAATATGTCTACCAGCCAGCTGTTTGGTCTTGTGCCCTCCTGTTTGGCCGCTTGCCACAGACGAAGTAAAAGAAGGCCTGATATTCGGAGTTAAAAATGTATTGTGTGCCTGAGTAGGTCTGAGAGGAATTTATTCTCAGATATACGATAAGGCATCCTTTGGGTTTTTTAAATGTATTTAGTGCACGGTCTACAGGGTCTCACTATGCAGATCAGACTTGTAGTGATCCTCTTGTTTTCCGCCTCCCAAGCGCTGGGACTACAAGCGTGTGCCACCATGTCCAGTCTCAATTGCCATCTCAGCATGCCCAGGGGGTGGGGCCAGCACAGCACAGCAGGTAGCGAACCCGATCCCTGTACCTGGACATCCTTGAAGTTAAGTCCAAGTAAACATTTACCACACTCCGGGCAATGTGCAAGTGATAAAAGGGGTGAGACCATCAGCGATGTGACCTGGCCAGAGGACAGGGCAAAGGGGGGGCAGATGCACTGCAGACAGGTGGGGTGTGTTTGTTCTCTCAGGAGGGAGCAAATCTTTGGGCAGCTTACAGCAGCCAGGGGTTGGGGGTCAGGATACCTACACAAACTGCAATTCCCACTTTGTTCCCAGGGTTGGTAACACACTGCCTGCCGGCCTAGCGGCCTAGTGTGAGCTCTTCCCCATTAGGGAAAACCTTGCACTGGAATGCCATTCCCAAAGGAATTTGCTCACTGAAGGCCCTGGGGCTGGGAGCTTCCCTGGACATCCCAGGTATTTTGAAAATACTTCAATGAGGAGCTGAGGTTCCTGGCTTGCCCTTGACTGGAGGGGAGGAGGGCCAAGTGCACCTTCCAGTTGTAAACTGAGATTCTGCTCCAGAAGGAAACAAAACAAACCAAGAGAAAATCCGGGTGCAGACAAAGGACTCGGGTACTGTCTGGCAAGGGCCCAAGGGCAGGTGGCTTTGAGCAACTCTGTTTCTACCAAGAGAAGGGGGTACCACAGCCTGCCTCAGGAAGCCTGGGCCCTGCTAGGTCTGACATCCTAGCCTGGGCTCAGTCCTGGAGTCTAGGACTTTGTAGACAGGTCATGAATTAAGGAATTTATACCTGGGACGAAACCCCATGTGCTTAAACATGTGAAGTGGGCTGTTTATTCTTTGGAAATTACTTGGTGCCTGCAGATACTAGTGTCTAACTGCATCTCACTGTCACCTCCATGAACACAAATCGTAAGGTCCTGTTGTAGCTTCGAGTCATCATGTTAGGTTCTTGGACCCAGGTGCTACCTCTGCCCACGAGCCTGACTTCCCCACGGGAAGGGCTCACTGCTGCTGACAAGGACCTCTTTCCTCATGACAATTCTGAGGCAGGATAATACATAAAATAAAACACACCAGACACACAGCACATGAAAAGCTGTCATCACAGTACCTTCATTCAAATGTGTGGCTCACTTGCATGTGTAAGGCAAAGGCTTTAGAAATTTATTTTTCTAAATTCAGTGAGAACTGAGTAAAGCTAAATAGGTGGAACACTTGCAAAGGTACTTTATGTTTTATTTTTAAGATTTAACTAATAATTTATAGATAGTAGAACTGGTAAAAATCTAAAAGCAAAATACTTCTTCATAGCCATAGTTTTAGGGACACTATTTGGTCCACTGTTAAGAATTACTGTGCGTAGGCTGGCGAGATAGCTCAGCAGACTAAGTGCCTGCTTAGGCAAGTGAAGGGGCAGGGTTCAATCCCTAGCACCACAAGCTGTGCCAGACCTGCTCCCGGGCGTGCTGGACAGTGACCACATATGGGCTGGGGGCACACCCCTGTAATCCCAGCGCTGGGGAGGCTGAAAACGAGAATCACTACAAGTCCAAGCTGCATAGTGAGACCTGGTACCAAAACAAAACAAAACAAACAAATGTAAGAATTACTCTGAGTTACATATGGTGGCCTAGGTGTAACAAATGCGAGTTGAACATGGCAGAAACCACTTGGCAGGATTTTGTGCAAGAAAATACCGGATTTAATACCTGTGTGCAGGCAGACAGAGGGCCTTTGAAACAAAGGGAAGTGGGCCTCCTTTATAGGGATGGCAAAGAGGCAGGACATGCTAGGGGGAACACGGTGCTAAACACCTGTGGTTCAAGTTCTCTGTGTCTTGCACCTCAGCGGGCCTCGGGGTGTCTAGAGACCTGCAGGATTCTTTGTCCTGCCTTATCTCCTTCAGGACATCCTGTCCTGGCCAGAGGACAGCCTCTGAGCGAGCTGGACTGAGTTCCCTGCAGAGGGCAGTGCCTCTGCTGGCAAGCAGGCCCTGGGCTGAGTCAGTCTGATTCGAGCCTATACCCTGAACAGCTGAGACAGGAAGACTAAATTTGAACACAGTGTAGGCAACTTAGCAAGTCTCTGTCTCAGAATTTAATAAATAAGAGCTAGGGATCTAGTTCAGTTCAGAGGCCTTGCACTTAAACCCCAGTATTGCAAACATAA